GAGAAATATCAATAACCTCAGATATGCAGATGACACCACCCTTATGGCAGAAAGTGAAGAAGAACTAAAGAGCCTCTTGATGAAAGTGAAAGAGGAGAGTGAAAAAGTTGGCTTAAAGCTCAACATTCAGAAAACTAAGATCATGGCATCCGATCCCATTACTTCATGGGAAATAGATGGGGAAACAATGGAAAAACAGTCGCTGACTTTATTTTTCTGGGCTCCAAAATCACTGCAGATGGTGATTGCAGCCATGAAATTAAAAGACACTCTTTGGAAGGAAAGTTATGATCAACCTAGATAGCATATTAAAAAGCAGAGACATTACTTTGCCAACAAAAGTCTATCTAGTCAAGGCTATGGTTTTTCCAGTGGTCATGGATGGATGTGAGAGTTGGACTATAAAGAAAGCTGAGCACTGAAGAATTGATGATTTTGAACTGTGGTGTTGGAGAAGACTCTTGAGAGTCCCTTGGACTGCAAGGAGATCCAACCAGTCCATCCTAAAGGAGATCAGTCTTGGGTGTTCATTGGAGGGACTGATGTTGAAGCTGAAACTCCAATACTTTGGCCACCTGATGCAGAGAGCTGACTCATTTGCAAAGACCCTGATGCTGGGGAAGATTGGGGGCAGGAGGAGGAGGGGACGACAGAGGATGAGATGGTTGGATGGAATCACCGACACAATGGACATGGGTTTGGGTGGACTCCGGAAGTTGGTGATGGACAGGGAGGCCTGGCGTGCTGTGGTTCACGGGGTCACAAAGAATCGGACACGACTGAGCGACTGAACTGAACATGTACAGATGTGAGAATTGGACCATAAAGAAGACTGAACACTGAAGAAAGACGGACGCTTTCAAACTGTGATGCTTTCAAGAGAAGAGTCTTCCAAGTCCCTTGAATAGCATGGAGATCAAACCAATCAATCCTAAAGGAAATCAAGGTGATGAGATGGTTAGAAAGAATCACCAACTCAATGGACATGAATCTGAGCAAACTTCAGGAGATGCTGAAGGACAGGGCTTCCCTATAGACTGCATGCTGCAGTCCATGGGGTTGCAAAGAGTCGGACATGCCTTAGTGATGGAACAGCAACAGCATAACATACACCACCGAGGATGGCACCATAAGAAATCATAATTGAGTAGGAACTGTGCATTATGAGAGGTGGTGTACAGGAGGGGTGATGCCATTTCCAGACATCATAGTCCTTATCTGAGGTGGGAGAGGTTGTGTGCTGCCCTAGGGTGGGGCCAGTACCTCTTTGTGTCATCACAGCTGGACTCAGAACTCTTGTCGTGTTGACAGATTACATGCTGCTGCTGCATCCTTACAATGCGACCCAGGCAACGTCCAGGACACTGAAACAAAAGCACAGTGTAGTATAAACAACCTTGTGAGCAACTTCCCAGCCAGTCTGGTTAAGACTCTGTGCTCCCAATGCAGGGGGCACAGGTTTGATCCCTGGATGGGGAACTAAGATCCTGCATGTGGTGAAGCATGGCAAAAATAAATAAAGACTGTGTGTTAAAAATAAATAAGACATGTGTGCTGGGGTACCAAAACCATGTACTATGGCAGCATTGCCAGAGATGAGCTACAGGGGGTCAGCTATCCCCAAGGGAAGTTGTTCAGTCGCTCAGTTGTGTCTGACTCTTTGTGACCCCATGAACTGCAGCAAGCCAGGCTTCCCTGTACTTCACTGTCTCCCAGCGTTTGCTCAAACTCCTGTCCATTGAGTCAGTGATGCCAGCCAACCATCTCATCCTCTGTTACCCCCTTCTCCTCCTGCCCTCAATCTTTCCCAGTAGCTGGGTCTTTTCCAATGAATTGGCTCTTTGCATTAGGTGGCCAAAGTATTTGAGCTTCAGCTTCAGCATCAGTCCTTCCAGTGAATATTCAGATAAGTGAGAGCGGCTGGAAGCCCAGCTCTGAGGATCAGACTACCCTCCTCAGAGCCAGACAGATACCTAAGTATCCTTTCATCCTCTTTTCCTCCTCATAAACTGAGACCATCCTTGGGGAGAAGGAGAAGAAAGGTAGGGCCAATCTCTTAACTGACCAGGTTAAGGTTCAGAAATCACTGTGCTTTAAACCATAAGCTACAGCCAAGTTAGGGTTTTCCTGCTTAGAGCAAAAATGGAGGCTTGTGTGTAGGGGGTGAGTTCAATTACAGAAAAAAAAAATAATAACACATGTCAATTTTTTCTTGTCATTGGTTTTATACTTGAAAAGATCCTTCACATCCTGGTAGTTCTATTCCAGTTTAATGACTTTTACACTAAAGCACTTTATTCAAGGCTGAATTTATTATGTTGTACGCTGTGAGTTTGGGCTCTCACTTTATTTATTTTTCTTAAATTAGTTGAACAATTTCCTTCATACAATCTTTTTAATTTGCCCACATTATTGAGATATAATTCACATACCCTAAAAGTCACTGCTTAATGTATACATTTTACAGTAAGTCCCTCCCCTACAAATGAACCTTCAAGTTGAGAACTTTCAAAGATGTGACTGTGCCCCTGTATGTCAGCTATTATAACTGTACTAGTGTACTTTTTCAAGGTCCTGTACTGTTAGATCAAAAATGTTTTGTGTGTTTGTTTTTTATGTGTTATTTGTGTGAAAAGTATTATAAACCTATTACAGTGCAATACTATATAGTCTATTGTGTTTGTTGGGTACCTAGGCTAACTTTGTTGGACTTACAAACAGGCCTAGAAACAAGTTCCCTTTCATGTACATGATTTTTAAATATTTTCTACCATTCTGTGGCTGTCCACTTTCTTGATTAAGTCCCTTGTGGCAACAAAACTTTAAATTTTGATATAGCCCCATTTATCTATTTTTGTTGTTGCTGTAGCTTATGTTTTTTGAGTCATATCTAAGAAACCATCTCCTAATCCAAAGCATAAAGATTTATGGCTACATTTTCTTCCAAGAGCTTTATTTTAGCAATTAAATTTAGGTTTCTGATAAATTTTGAGTTAATGCTTTGTAAACATTATATGCTAGGAGTCCAAGTTCATTCTTTTGTATGTGCATATTCAGCTGTCCTTTACCACTGATGAAAAAACTGTTCTTTTCCCATTGAATTAGTATTTTCACCCTTGTAGAAAATCAATTGACATAGATGTATGGATTTATCTCTAGACTTTCAATTCAGTTTCATCAATCTATGTGTCTACGCTATGTTAGCACCATGTTGCTGCTGTTGTTTAGTGACTAAGTCATGTCCAACTCTGCAATCCCACGGACAGAATGGACTGCAGCCGGCCAGAATCCTCTGTCAATGAGATTTCCCAAGCAAGAATACTGGGGTGAGTTGCTGTTCCCTTCTCCAGGGGATCTTGCAGACCCAGGGATCAAATCTACATCTTCCAGTTCTCTACTGCTGACGCACTGGGGAAGTCCATGTTAGTACCTTACTGTCTTGATTATCACCATTTTGTAGTAAGTTTTGAAATTGAGATGTCTGAGACCTTTAACTTTGTTCTTTCTTTAGATTGTTTTGGCTATCCTGGGTCCTTTACATTTCCATATGAATTTTAGGATCAACTTGCCAATTTCTGCAAAGAAGCTGGGGTTTTGATAGGGATTGTGTTGAATCTGTAGATCAATTTACTGTCAGGTGAATAACAGTAAGTCTTTTGATCCATAAATATACAATGCCTTTTCATTTATTTAGGTCTTCTTTAATAGTCCTTGTGTTTCCCTGGCGGCTCAGATAATAAAGAATCTGCAGTGCAGGAGACCTGCCTTTGATCCCCAGGTCAGGAAGATCCCCTGGAGAAGGGAATGGTTACCCACTCCAGTATTCTTGCCTGGAGGATGACATGGATACAGGAGCCCAATGGGCTATAGTCTATGGGATCACAAAGGGTTGGACATGACTGACTAACACATTTTCTTTAATGTCATCAAAAAAGACTTTCTGTAGTTTTATACTGTTCATTTTTTAAAACTCTTCTTCCCTCTGTGATTAACAGATTTTGGACTTTAAATTCATTTAACATGGGTCTGTTTCTGTACTCTTATTATACTCCACAACTCATGTCTATTCTGCACTGATGCTATACCCTTTTACTTACAACAGCTTAGCAGGACGCTTTGACATCAGATAAGGAAAGTCCTTCCATACTCCCAATGATTTGCTTTTTTAAAAGTCTCTTGTCCTTACTCTCTCCCATATGAATGTCAAAATTATATGAAGTTCTGAAAAAAGAATTCTACAGCAATTTGAATTGGAAGTATGTGTTCTAGTTCATTTAAGGGTATGCGCTCCTTTATAGCACTCAGAGTACCTTTACTTGCACAGATTTTCTGTTATGTGTTTCAACAATATGTTGCATTTTTCTTTATGAGTTCTGTGAGGATGAATTTTGTGTGTCAAATCTCACCCATACCTGATCAGGTGACATTTTAATGAGATTTTGGACTTGGAATTGATGTTGGAATGGCTTAAGAATTATGGGGATGTTGAGATGGGGTGAATGTATTCTGCACGAGAAGGACATGGATTTCGGGGGCTAAAAGGCAAAATGTTATGGACCAAACTGTATCCCCTCAAAATTTATATAGTGAAGTCCTAACCACCAATGTGACTATATTTGAAGACAGGGTCTATAAGAAGGTTAGAAGTTAAATGAGGCCAAAGGATGGAGCCTTAATCCCATAGGAAGTGTCCTTATAAGAAATGGAAGAGACACCCAGAACTCTCTCTTCCTGTGTGTACACAGAGAAGAGGTTATGTGAGGATGGAGACAGAGGAGCCTGATGGGTTAAAGTTCTGTCCATGAGGTTGCAAAAGAGTCAGGCCATCATTCACTGGGACCTGACACTGAGCAACTTGCTCCTTGATGAGAACCAGGTGAAGATTTCGGACTTCGGTCTGAGCAATGAGTAAAACCCAAGAGGGAAGCTAGATACTTTCTGCGGCACTGCCACCTACACAGCCCCTGAGCTCATCCTGGGGCAGAGCCACATGGGCCCACCTGTGGACGTGTGGAGCCTTGGTGTCATCCTGCAGTCATGGTAACCAGGTCCTTCCCCTTCCAGGGACAAGATTTCTGGCAGCTCTGGCATAGAGTGCTCATAGGGCAATACGATGTGCCCCACACTACGTACTGTCTGAAATAAGAAGCTCACTGGCAAATATGCTGACTCTTAACCCTGTAGGGTTTGTCAGCAGAGGTACCTTAGCTGATATTTGGAAGCATCCATGGGTTAAGATGGGCCAGGAGCCACTCCTGCCACTCTGTGAAGAGGACTCGGGGGTGACAGTGGGGATGATTCTGGGCTCAAGGTTGGGCCAGAGCCTGCACTTGAAGGGACTGAAGGTGGGATTCCAGACCATTATTGTGAGACCCTCCTTCCTCTTCCAAGAACCTCAGCAGCTGAGAACTCCAGCCTCTAAGCCCTGAGGCGTCCACCCTCCTACTGGCCTGGCTATTCCTGTGGGAGACCATTCTAGGCAGGAGACAACCCATGATTCACAGGAGAAGACCACCAAGCCTACTACCACCCCACCCTGTCCGGAGGCAAGGGCCATCACCCCAAGTCTAGGCCTCCCCCTCCACAAGCGCATCAGCGACAGCTGCAGCACCCACAACACCTGCGACAGCAGCAGCACCCAAACACCAGCAGCACCTGAGACACCGGCAGCTCCAGCAACACCGGTGCCACCTGAGACACCAGCAGCACCCGAGGCGCCGGCAGCTCCGGCAACACCCGTGCCACCTGAGACACCAGCAGCACCCGAGGCGCCGGCAGCTCCGGCAACACCCGTGACACCTGAGACACCAGCAGCACCCGAGGCACCGGCAGCAAAGCCTCAGAGGGAAACAACTGACCCCTGAGTGTGGCCAACACCATCAGAAGCTCCTCCCAAGCGGGGCAGCCCCACTCCGCAGCCGCTCCCTCTGGCCTCAGCCAGAAAAAGAAGGGGCTGGCTGGGAGAATATGAAATCTTATTGTGAAACATTCCTATTGCAGGCTCCCCAGCAAGAGGCATAAAAATACAATAGTCCCAGAAATGACCTCTGGATGACTAATGGAGACAAAAGGTCAGAGCTGCCGAGCTCCCTGGGACCCTGTCAAGTGGACTGTGGTTTTCAAATCCAGCACCTCCATGGCCTTCAGAAACCCTGGCCAGCTAGAAGGATGGTCTGGAGTGGCCTGGGCAACCATGAGGCATCACCCTGGCCTGGCCACCCCTCCTCCCTTACTGGGTAAAAATTCACAGACTGGACTATCCCCCAGGGCATGTCCCCCTTCCTACACATTCCCCCTTTGATGTTGGTGGTGGAGGGGCTAGTGTTTGCCAACTCCCTGGTTCTTCATAGTTTTAATAAACTTCATTTCTCCAGAAAGAAGTATCACCCTCAGTTCTGCATCCTCTCCAGTTAGAGAAGTGTGTAGTCAGGTAGGCCTTGGAGTTAATGACCTAAGAATTAGCACAATCATTCTCAAGAGAGACAACTGCTGCACTGCAGGGCAGAAATGCAGAAACAGTGTATTATCCTCCTGCATTGACAATACTGAATGTTTTCAGAAGGGCTGAGGGGAACTTTTGATCTCTGCAGCCTGAGTTAATCAGGACTGGGACGTCTAGGATAGGATAGTAAGTCCCCTGAACCAGCTGGTGGGTGTGTGGTGTGGTCAGCTCCCTGTGCAGATGAGTTTCCTGAATGTCCTGCAAGAGTTGGGTGCTCTCCTCTCCCCTATGGGGAGGGGCCCTGATGGGTGGGACTTTGTTAGAACACTGCTTCTGTGTTATGTTTTGACCTCTTGGCATGTGGGATCTTAGCCCCCTGACCAGGGATGGAACCCACACCCCTTGCATTGGAAGGCAAAGTCCTACCACTGGACTGCCAGGGGAAGTCCTTTTTTGATGCAAGGGTTTGACTGCAGGGACTGGAAGATTTGAAACACTACATTTGTTAGCACTACCTTGTTCCTTCGTTCAGACTCCTGACTCTGGGGACGCACACTCTCGGTGGCAACGCCTGCACCATTCCGTTGGATCTTGTGTGCTTATGTGTCACTTGCCCACTGTGGAATCCTTCACCACAAGACACAGAGCACTCTGACCACGTGCCTGTGAGCCACCTGAGAATAAAAACTATAGGAGCTTAGTAGGTCAGACCCCATGGGGACTGTCTTCCAAAGGGAAAGCCCATCCTAGCATTATGATTGGTTCAGGGCCTACACACATGTATCTGGGAATGGGCAGCAGCACATATAATTCCCAGCCATATTCTCAGATTTTCTTTCACTCAGAAGCAAAAGAATTGCCATGTAGAGACAACAGCATGGAGGTGGGATAAAGTCATCCTCAGGGATGTGAAAGCCATCATCTATGTGGCCTCAGAGAGCAGAGCTAGGGCAAAATTAGGTGGAAATTTCAAAAAGGTGGATTTCAACTCATTGAAACCAAAGGGAAGAAAAAGGAAGCACATATCTGCTCCTTCTTGTTGTTGTTCAGTGTCTGACTCTTTGTGACCCCATGGGCTGTAGCCCACCAGGCTCCTCTGTCCATGGGATTTCCCAGGCAAGAATACTGGAGTAGGCTGGTATTTGCTCCTCCAAAGGATCTTCTCAACCCAGCAATCGAACCAGTGTCTCCTTCAGCTCCTGCATTAGCAGGCAGATCCTTTGCCACTAGCTCCATCTTGGAAGATGAACTGGAACATTGCAATTGATATATGTATATATACTTTGGTATGTATAAAACAGATAACGAATGAGACCCCAAAGGACAGCACAGGGAACTCTACTCAGTGCTCTGTGGTGACCTAAATGGGAAGGAAATCCAAAAAGGAGGGGATGTATGTATATATGGGGCTGGTTCACTTTGCTGTGCAGCAGAAACTAACAAACATCGTAAAGCAACTATACTAAAAGAAAAAAAAGTAAAATAAAAGATGTTTCTGCTTATAGAGTGACAAGGCACTCTACGTGAAAGTCTCTCAGTTGTGTCTGATGCTTTGTGACCCCATGGACACACTCCATGGAATTCTCCAGGCCAGAATACTGGAGTGGGTAGCCTTTCCCTTCTCCAAGGGATCTTCCCAACCCAGGGATCAAACCCAGGTCTCCCGCATTGCAGGCGGATTCTTTACCAGCTGAGCCACAAGGGAAGCCCAGAGATGAGGAAACTGGGGGTAATTTATCAAGGATAACATAGTAACTACTGGCATTCTTTTACCCTGCCTCAGCAATATCACAGGTGAGAGATGCAATTTAAGGTCATCCAAGGTGACAAAGAATCCTAGGAAAATTCAAAAATAATATTTTGGGGCATGTATTTTTCTGATTCCAAAAATGAATAAACAAACAGCAATATCCACTTGTTAAAATAATTCTTTGCTAGTAAAGACAAAGAATGTAACATACATAAGTGAAAGGAAAGCATATTTTAAGAAAAATATTATCAGAAACAGAAGGAAATGTTATAGCATCTCCTTAAAATTTAATGACAATAAAATTCAAGAAAATGTTCTATAAAACAAAAGATAAATAAATAAAACAGTCAGAACATGAACTTCCCTGGTGGTCCAGGAGTTAAGAATTTGCCTGCTGTTTTCGGGGACAAGGGTTCAATTCCTGAAGATCCCACATGCTGCAGAGCAACTAGGCCCAAGTGCCACAACTACTGAGGCCCATGCACCCAGAGCCTGCTGCACAACTGGAGAAGCCACTGCAATGAGAAACCTGCACACCACAACTAGACAGGAGCTCCTGCTCACCGCAACTAGAGAAGGAGCACACAGTGACAAACATCGCGGCAGGAAAAAAAAAAAAAACCAGCCAAAACACGGCTGGAAAAAAATCCCTGGCTTCATTGAGAAAAGACTAAAAAATAAAAAATAATGCAAAGTTGGCTCTATGACAGAAGAAAATCCTAATGAATATAGAAAATACATTCATGATAAGGACAACAAGTAGTTTTGTTTGAAGGGGAGAAGTGCATCCAAAACAGAGGGAAAAAACACAAACAGGCAAGGGAAGTATCGTGTGTTAAAAACAGAGAAGACAGTCAACACAGAGAGTTGGTGAGCCTTTAAAATAACAGAAAAACAATAGAAAAGAGGCACTCGTGCAATAGAAGAAAACTTTCATGCACTCAAGAAAGATTTGAATCTATGTCCTAAAAATTCTGCTTACCAAAATTTTTGAAAAGAAAATAATACCTGGACTTATTCTAGAAAAATCCTCTAATTTTAAGTATATGAAGAAAAACCTAATCTTTAAGCAGGAAGAAAAGGCTCACAACAAAAGGATAAAGGACAGTTTAGGCACAAATACTTCCTCTTCATTATTCAGAGCCATGTGTTCAGAGTTTTAAGATAAAAAGAAGACAGTTTATTAAACAAGAGTTCATACTTCTGCTCATTTGAGGGTATAAGAAAGGCATTCTTAAATAGAGAGTCTTAGACATTATGCCATCTATATAAGCTCCCAGAAAAAAATGCAGAAAGATACACTCTCATTTAATGAGAATTAAATTTTTAAAATTACTATGGGAAAACAAAAACAAAACAAGATTCAGTACGGCATGAACACTGTATTATGTTTTATTTAAATTTTAAAAAGGAAATTTGACGATGGAAATTAAATGCCTTCAATGAACCCATCCTCTGGCCCCCAACTTCCAGCCCAGCAAATGTGTCCTAAGGAGACAATTAGAGATGTAGAGAGGTGCAATTTGAGATTTGCTACAGTTTCATTTATCATAGTGAATAATTAGATACAAATTGCAGAAGGCCAGAAAGATCTTTCTAAAACTGCAATCATTATGATTACATCACTTGTTAAAAATCCCTAAATGACTCTCACTGCCTCCAGATGAAGTCCAAATTCCTTTATGAGCCATGAAAGGCCTCCAAGACTTGCTCACTTTCCCAGCTGCCATTACCACCTCCTCAGCCTCCATCCCCCTCTCCACATTCAGTATTCTCACTGTCCAGGTGTGGTGGCCCCCATGGACCAGCTGGCCTACATACAACCTCAATGCCTGATGTGCTGTTCTAACACCCATGTACATCTTAGGGCATCACTTCATGTACCAGCTCTCCCAGGAAGCCATCCCTGAGCTTTAAGCCTCACAACACAGCAATCTAATTGCTAACTTCTCTGTCTGCCCGATGAGACCAACCCAAGGATGGAAAAACCTCGAATTCAGGTCTCCTAACACAAAATTGGAGCTCTTCCTCATATCATAGGCCAGAGCATCACCATCCGCCACTTAGTAGATCTGAAATGTTGGGAGATAATTCCTTAATCTACACCTTTGTTTCCTTGTTCCCAAAATGAAGCTAATAATAACGCCTCTTCATGGAGTTATTGTGAGAATTAAATCAGAATTAATCCACATACAACACTGAGGACACAATCTGGCACAAAGGCCCCAATATTAGCTGTTATGGCTATTGTTGTGAGAAAACCAGCAGGCCCAAAATTAACCTGATTCAATTTGAGCAAGTACAAATGGAGAGGCTAAAATGGCAGTGGAGAAAATATACAAAGTGTTCTGAATCTGTTTCATTTCCTTGGTTCTTACACAGGCAAAATGGGAGGGAAGGCAGCATGACTAAACTCTGAATCCCATAGAAACTGGGAAGGATCCAGGGAAGAGTTTTTAAAACAATGATGAACCATATCAACTGTTGACACATTCCACAGCTGAAAGCTAAGGAGGTTAAAAGTGCAGTTCCCCTGGCTTCACTTTATAAGCTGTAATTTTTATTTTCCTAATTAAAAAGAAAAGCCTTTTGAACATCCGCTCTTTACGTAAATTCAGAGCTCAAGTCATGGTAAACCACAGAGGCAGAAATATTTCTCTTCTCCAGGAGCCTTTGGCAGACATTCCTCAAGGAATCCGAAATACAGCTATGTTCATATTCTCACTCACTATCAACAGGC